TGTAACATCTACTGAAATCATTTAAATTATTCCCTGTTACCCTATGCCACTACTAGCTCCCTCTAGTTCTGCCTTCCTTTTACTCCAAGTCACCCTGCTAATTTTCATACCTCACTTCAGCCTTCACATGAGCAGGTCTGCCCAATACATCTGTAATAATTTCTTAGGTACAGAGGATCATATTCAGCTTTCCTTACAACAAAGTAAATGCCAGTCTGTGCCATTGTCTGCAAAAAGCTTTTCCAGCATCATGTCCAATGGAGCTGTTAGCAACAGCCGTAGAAACCTGGAAAGGGAGAAATCTAACCATTGGGGGGTTATTAGTCTGTGCATGTGTATAATCTACACATATGGGGCCTTGCTCTTGGTTGATTTTCAAGCACTTGCAATACATATAGTTACTAAAATTAGTAAAAATATGTTCAAACAAGTCTTTATATTTTTCCTATAATTTGGTGGAAACTTAATGAACAAATCTTTGTATTTTATACTTTAGTAAATGCATCTGCTTTCTATGCTATTTTTTACAACTTCACCAGAAACTCAAGTATTTTTCAATACAGATCTTTAATGGACATGAACAAAAAATTGCATAGTTATCAGTATAAAATAAAATTCTTCACAAGAACAATATTTCTCACAATGCCTTCAAATTTAGTCTTAGCAGTATTCTTGGAAAGTCCGTAAGATTTTCATGTTAAAATTTTACAGTGAGCTAGAACAAATAAAGCAAGAATCATTTGACTATATTACACAGAAGACAAATCTAGATTTCACTTAGATGGGTATATTAGTCAAAATTATAATAGTATTTGGAACTGCAATAAGTAGAGGTCTGGAAGATTATTCATTTATGCATGAAAATTTGATGATTTGGTGCAAATTCAAAAATGATGAGAGCAGGTGATAGGCAATGTTCAAATGAAGGGCTATTTGGATATTTGCTTTTATATATATATATTAACTTGAGTGTATGTATATATCTATATAATCTTGAGTATTGTGTGCAGTTTTGGGTGCCACAGTACAAAAAGGATACAAAGCTACTAGAGAGTGTCCAGAGGAGAGCGATGAAGATGGTGAAGGGTTTAGAGGGGAAGCTGTACGAGGAGCGGCTGAAGTCACTTGGTCTGTTCAGCCTGGAGGAGACTGAGGGGAGACCTCATCATGGTCTACAGCTTCCTCACAAGGGGAAGGGGAGGGGCAGGCGCTGATCTCTTCTCCCTGGCGACCAACGATACAACCCAAGGGAACAGCAGGGAGATATGCCAGGGGAGGTTTAGGTTGGATATTAGGAAAAGGTTCTTCACCCAGAGGGTGGTGGAGCACTGGAACAGGCCCCCCTGGGAGGTAGTCATGGTGACAAGCCTGACAATATTCAAGAAGCTTTTGGGCAATGCCCTCAGACATATGGTGTGAATGTTGGGGTTGTCCTATGCAGGGACAGGAGTTGGACTCGATGATCCTTGTGAGTCCCTTCCAACTCAGGACATTCTATGATTCTATGATATCTCTCTCTCTCAGATCTAGAAGGATTCCACATACAGTGCTTATTAAAAAATGCATTAAAGGAATACAGTGCCTATTAAAAAATGCATTAAAGGAACCAGCGAGAGTCAGGCAATTAATATCTTGAGGATTTGTGCAAAAGTTTCCATAAGGCATTCTAGCTATATTCTGTATGCTATAGCAATATAGCTCTATCTGTATCAGTATAATGAAGAAGAAATCAACATATTGTGTGAGTATTTTGCATTTCACTGTGTGCTCGACATTGCTAATCAAAATGCTAGTACTGGAGTCCATAATGGCCTCAGCCTCAGCATGGACAGCAAAAAGCAATTACCTGATCTCCCAATTTTTATTTTATTGAGCCCTATGAAGCAGATGAACAGTATACTGACCCTCTAAGAAAGTTCACCCTGTGGCTAAGGGTTTCAAAAGACAGTGCAGCAAGGGAAGACCCATAAATCAGTCTCATTCTGTAGAACCAGGGCACAGCAGCTGTTCAGACGATGGCAGCCTTGAGGTTACACAAGTGGCTGTGGAAGTCACCACAACTTAACTGATGATTTCTCTCTCCCCTCAAGGAACCTGCCCAGCACAGAGTTATTTGAGTTAGGAGTCACCCCTCCAGACAAGTAGCACATGAGAATAGTAATCCTCTTGTAAGAAAACAAATCAATTCTAGTAGTTTAATTCTGGTCTCTGTGTTTGCATCCAACAGCCCTACTTGTTTAAAGCAGTTATAGCCTTATGCTTACAATGTGTAATTATAAACTGAAATGATTAATACTTGTCCTTCATACAATAGCAGTCAAATGTATCTTTTTCCTTTTGATAGACTATGAGTTTTTTTTAGTGAATAATGAGAGCCAATTTAAATCAGACTTTCCAGGGGAGAGAACAATGAAAAATAGCTGCAGTTGCTTCAATGAAAACTTTAACTAGGATTTTTTTCATCTTAAAAGCTGGAAATAATTTAAACAAATACACTTTAGGCAAACTGACATACAGAATAGATTAATATAACCTAGAACAGATTCCTCCATTTGTCTTTCTCCATTTTCCATTTTCATTTCAACTTTCTGCTAGGCATTTTTCACCTGTTCTGTCTTACACATATGAGAAGTCCCTTACTTTATAAGTAAGCCCATTCATAAACTCATCATATTCTACAGAGAAAAGTAAAATAAATAGACATACTTCAGGTTACAGAAATTAAAAGCTAAAGCTTGGGTTTGGCTGAAGTGCAGATGAAGTCCTGAGAGCTGCAGTGCTCACACCCAGTGCTCCAGGTTTAGAGCTAATGTTCCCTTCAGTGCAACAAGTCCACATGTTGGGACAGGCAGAAAGAGCCGTCACTACTCCCACATCCTGCTTCTTCCTGGCCTTTTGATTTTATACATGAGTTTGGAAGGGGAACTGGTACTACATCGTATCTGGGATATCATGCAAAAAAATAAGGGTATCTCAGGGGGTATTATGTCCTCTTACTGCATGGAAGACACCAAAAGCTCGGTTCTATGAACACTGAGGCACAAGCTTGTCTAAGGGTTTTGGTTTACTTTAGAAAAAAAAAAGAAGAGGCTTGTTTCTACATCTGTAAAGTACAAATCCCTGGCTCAGGTTTCATCACACCATGGTGCTAATTATGAAAAATACCAACAGGTTCTCTTAAGAACTTTTTATGGCTCTTGAGGCTGTCACTAGCCATGATGAAAAAAAAGGGAAATTTCTTTCAGTCCTTTTCTGAAAGGGGGGTTAACAAATTAATTAACAATTTTTTTTAAAAAGCAATTGATTAACAAATCCTATGCTTTTTCCACCTGGCATTTAATGTTATATCGTTCCATTTGGTCAGAGAGCCTTTTTCATGTCTGCTGAAAACAATAATCTGAATTAATTTCATTCTCCAAGTGTAGTTTTCCACTTACTGGTTTTGTCTTGAAAATTTATAAGGTTATATGAATATAAAATCCTCTGCTGGGACTTTCTCTATATGATATGCAGTATTTTCTGATTATTAAGAAATAAATGCTTGGTGAGCATGTTTTTAGCATATTTGGCTACCCTTATTCATGCTGAGTAATTAAATTGACGAAAACAGCAGGATGCTGAAGATATAAAAAACTATTTCTCATGAGTAAATGTTGCATATTGAGGTTCCTGTTGTCCATTATTATGTCTGTTGGCATGATTCTCACAACTGTATGGCTACATGTTCCAAGTTTCATAAGACCAAATATTGATACGACATTGGAATTTCAACAGTACCCACTATTTCTATACCAGTGGGGTTTTAACTAGTTATTCTAACCACTAATAACTACTACCCATAGTTACTGGCCAAATTCTACTACTCAGCCTTGAACACTTCGTTTCGCATTCTGACTCAAAAAGTTTTCTTTTTAAAATTAGTTTTCATTGTCTTTTTTAACAATAAACAAGTGATGTTATTTACTTCTATTACATTTAGAAGTGTCACGTAAGGTCTGACAACCAGCTCCCATTTCCCCTCTGCACCTAACATGTCTTTGTTTCTATTTTATTTTTATCTTCTTTCATTAATGCAGTAGTGCAAATAATGAGGAAAATCATCTATGACCAATAAAAGTATAGTCCGTATGTCCTTATGCTCAGTGTCTCAATTCTCTCAGTTCTTGATATAATTTAATGAGATGCTAATATGCACTTTTTTAAAAAAACAAATATTTTCATCTTTCAGAGCAGTAAAGTTTTAAGAAAGTGTGCTGCCATAAATACAACATTGTCTCTGACAGAGAGTATATACAACTCCAAAATGACTTCCAGAAGTTTGAAGCACTCCACTCGTCTTTCCTATAAAAACACCTTTCATTAATACAGGACTATCTGTAGGAATTAAGGTGACTCCACTTGTACCTAAGCTAATTTATCATAAGGAGTTATATGATCTTCACCATATTTGAATAGAGAAGGAACATATGTGTCTTTCTCATACAGCTCTATGGCAAGGTACTGCTCACACAATTTTTGTTACAGAACTGAGGCATAGGAAGTCTAAGTGGTGTGTCTAAAATATGTAAGAATTAGAGAGAGAGAAAAGAAATTAATTGAGGTTTCCTTCCAGTGGGACAGATTCTCACTGCCTAAGAGAGGGAAGTGGGAATGCCTCCACCAGGAATTGAGCAGAAAAAGGTAACTCCATAAAACTCTTTTTATGTTTCTCTCATTTTGATTTCAAGATAAAGCTACTGTAGGGGTAGAGTTATATGGAGTTATATGAACTGTACACAGAGGTTGGATTTCATTAGCTTGGGATTTTTTCAATTGCCCTGAAATGCATCTTTGTTTTTATCCATTGTGTCCCCACTAATATAAATAGGTATCATGCTGGCATTAAGCTAAGTAATTCTTTTGTTATCCACAGATGGACAGGGGATTACATGGCTAAGAAATGAAATAAAAGCTAAAACCCTATGCTTGGTAAAGCTTTGCTTGTTTTCTCTTTCATTCAGGATTACCGAGTGAACATCTTTCTCCGTCAGAATTGGAATGATCCACGTCTCGCATACAGTGAATATCCAGATGACTCTTTAGACTTAGATCCATCCATGCTGGATTCAATTTGGAAACCTGATTTGTTCTTTGCTAATGAAAAAGGTGCCAACTTTCATGAAGTTACAACAGATAATAAGTTGTTGCGAATTTTCAAAAATGGAAATGTACTTTATTCCATCAGGTGAGTCTCTAATCAACTGATTGTTTTCAGATAGAAGCTGAAAAGTATACCTAAGAATTGCTAATGGATATCTTCAGTTGCTAGACATGCAGAGCTATCACTAAAGTAAACGTGAGTTTTGAATACAGAGCTTTATCATCATTACTGTTCATTGTTAATACTAAAATAGAAAATGATCTCTCATTAGAAATATGCATAGTAAAGACAAAAAGAAAAGTGTCTCATTTTAAAGTACAGTTACTGAGCCTAGAAGAGCTGGGGCACTTGCACAGAGCAAATAATCCTGGGGCATTACAATCTGAGCTGGCCTATGTACGAGTTTCACACACTGTAGCCTCCAATGTCATCACAATCCAATGTTATTTCTTTTTCTCCTTTTTGGATATTGCAGTTGCACTTCAACATGGAAACATGTACTGTTTCAGGAAGCATGAGATTTAAGGAGTAGTTCACTTCCTGCTGGAGATGGAGAGAAAAGTGGAAAGTAAACTTTTGAAAGGTTTAAGAAGCTGTAAGCAGCAATCACATATAAGTATTGACAAAATCTAGCTATTCTACTTCTTTTCTCTTCTCCTCACTTTCCTTTTATTAATATAGACATTAGTAAGCATTTTACCACTATCTTCAAAAACCTGATCTAATGAGAGACACATTGGATATAATTATACTAATGCCCCATTAGACATGATATAGATTTGGTATTAATAGTGACCTACTTGTGCAAAATGTTATACTTTTCAAAATAAATATACTTCTTGTCCACTTAAGTGTTTTGCTTTGCATGCTTTTATGATACTGCATTAACAGGTAATTGGGCTTTTTGAAGAGACATCAGGAATCTGTAAAACAGTTTGCATAGTAAGAGAAAAAGAAAATGTTTGTGACTTGCGTGGATGTATCAGTGGCAAGGAAGTCTCCTTCCTCCCTCCTTCCAGTGCAAGTGGGCAGTGTCTTGTCAAGCTTACACAGGGAGAAAAGTTTGGGTTAAAATTCCTACAAGCATTTCATATCTAAAAGGAGGCTAGTCTGCCAGTCTGGGAACATAATCATTCTTCAGTGTCACAACATGTATTCTGTCTCTAGAAATGGATGGAAAGCAAGTAAAAAGGATTCCTTCTCCGGACCCAAGTAGAAAGTAAAGCTAAATCAATTCTCTCCAGACTATCTGAGTCACTCTGACAGGCACTGGCAGTTGTTCCACTCTAATCAAATAACATCTCGTCCTTGCCCTACTCCCTCCAGATACGTACAACACAGAGTATAGACACCACCACTCAACTGAAGCAAGTTTTGATTGCAACTTCAGTAGAATTCAGACCAAGTTCATGGTCACATGCAATGGGGAAAAAAACCAAACATGAGAAATATTATAATGTTAAATTATAAAAGCAAACACTGACTGTGATGAAAGCAGATGCCCGATAGCTCCTGTGTTTCTTATGGAGCCAGAAAGTTTATGTTGCCATGATTTAATTAAGAACTATTACAATTTCTGAAACAGACTTAAAATTATACAATTGACATCTAGTTCAGTTGTTGTGTGAATTTGAGTCAGTTGATGAGGGGAGACATGCTAATTGCTAACGTGCTGATATTAAAAGAAAAAAAAAATGAAGATTTGTAAATTTGATTTTTCTTTTCATTCCCTAATGTCTCCTCCTCCCCTAATTGCATTGGAACAATTCAGACAAGAAAATAATGAGAAGGTTCCAGTTCCTGATTCAATGAATACTTAATATAAAATACTAAAATATTTACTGAAGCACAGAATAAAGTTCAGGTGTCTCTTCTCTGAAATGACTTGCCATGTTACTAGCCTACTAGTCAGATTTTGCATTTGGAACCATTTTTAATAGCTTGGGAATAGGGCCAGAGTCTGAGTTCCCCCCGTGGAGTCTCCCCCTGCAGCTCTGACACTGGCAGGCTAAACAGAAGTTATAGCAACAAAGAATCAAGAAGCTTTGGAGAGGGAAAAAGTAGGGTAAAAGAAATATACAGCCATGCTTGCCGCCTACTGCCCACTTGCCTTTAGCCCCAATGCCAAAAACAGGGGAACGGGTTTAAGAGAGGGATTAGAGCACTGCCATTCTGGAAAAGAGTCACGTGTAAGGAATTGAACTCAAGCCCCTCGTGTTTTTGCAGAAATTCTATCAACTGAACTGATAAATGAATATTTTCATGCAAGATATTTTCTAGCAAAAGAAAGGTGCAGTTATGACCCTGAATGGTGAATGGATACTTAAACATGGCCGATGAGGGAAAACATGTGCCTTTACCTCTTATATTCTTCTTTCTCATTCCTCTGAGAAGTATCACTCTAAAGATAAGTTATTGTGCTGATATAAAATGTAAAAATACTTCTTTTGCCTATAGGTTGTAAAGTATTTCACAGGAAGTATCAGGACTAATGTGAAACACAGCTGTAGTTCAAAATTACAGGCATATTTCAGTCTACCATCAATATCATAAAATGTTATCTTAAACCTTTGTGTTGACAATTTAAGCACCTTATTTTAGGACAATAAGACGTAAATTACTTTGCCACCATGATTTGCAGCTGACATCTTGCAAATCTGGGTAAATTTTATGTCAAGGATTTGAAATACTGTAACAGTACAATAATTCTGCTGTAGCACAAAAAAGCATGCTGTTGTTGCATTTCTCTAGACTTCCCATAAAGTTAGGCAACCCTGCTGAAAAAATCTGTTTTTCTGAAAGTCTGTAATAATTTTTTTCCACATTGTCATACTAGGCTGAGCGAGTGAAATGGGTTCAGTTAATATAAATCCCTTTTGAGAGCTTTCTAATGAAAAAATATATTTTCTTCTATTTCTAATGACTTCCAGTGTTTTCATGCATTCTTCCTGTGCAGTTTTATGGCATTTTTGTGCTATATTTTTCAATATTTTTTTTGTGTTCTTTCAGATTGACTTTAATACTTTCCTGTCCGATGGATCTCAAAAATTTTCCAATGGACGTGCAAACATGTATAATGCAGCTGGAAAGCTGTAAGTTTGAGTAATGTATTATCCTGTAAATACTTTTGTAGGGATTACAACGGCTACGTAGGAGGTAGAAAGACCCCGTGTAGTGGTACAAGAACAAATTTTCGAAAAAGAATCCTCTATTTCACCAAAAGAATCTGTGAAACATACATGATTTTCAAAGAAAGAGATTCTTTCATCCTTACTTGTACTGAAAATCATCAGTTTTGTGTAAATGTAAAATTACTACTAAATTTAAGTACCCAGTGCCAGTTTACCTTTATGCAAAATTTATGCATATGGGGATTCACCCTTAAGTCTTCCCTGTGTTCACACATACAGGGGGACAGTAATATGGGAAAGCATAAAGGAAACATGAGAATAACTTACGGAAGTGATTTATGTGATTTATGTGAATATCCTGAAATCGGTAATAACTCAGTGTCCTTAAAAGCTGGAAACAAGATGATATATACTGAGTACCTGCTCTTCAGATTCCTGCCCTAGCTCTTCAGCAGGCCTACATGTTATAGCTATGTATCTGTAGCTTTTACCTAACCATCCTAGAAGGGATTAGGGAAAGGGTTTACTACAAAGGGAGAACTGTAGAAGATTGCACAGCATATATATGTGTGTATATATATATATATATATCTCCAAGCACATTGGATCAGTGGAACACCCCCCAGAAAATCTTCGGAAGGGCTGTAGAGCCCTTGCATTATGAGGAGGAAGAAGTCCATACAAGGTATCATCTAGCTAGGGATAAAATGTGAGGCTTTGCAGAATTATCTTTCAGTTAACAGCCGGGTCCTGCACTTGGGTCACAACAACCCCATGCAACGCTACAGGCTGGGGGAGGAGTGGCTGGAGAGCTGCCTGGCAGAAAAGGACCTGGGGGTGTTGGTTGACAGCTCACTACAAGAAGGACATTGAGGTGCTGGAGTGTGTCCAAAGAAGGGCAATGAAGCTGGTGAAGGGTCCAGAGAACAAGTCTTATGAGGAGCGGCTGAGGGAGCTGGGGTTGTTTAGTCTGGAGAAGAGGAGGCTGAGGGGAGACCTTATTGCTCTCTACAACTACCTGAAAGGAGGTTGTAGGGAGGTGGGGGTTGCTCTCTTCTCCCTAGTAACAAGCAATAGGACGAGAGGAAATGGCCTCAAGCTGCTCCAGGGGAGGTTTAGGTTGGATATTATGAAAAAACTTCTTTACCGAAAGGGTAGTCAAGCATTGGACCAGGCTGCCCAGGGAAGTGGTTGAGTCTCCACCCCTGGAAGTGTTTAAAAGAAGAGTAGATGTGGTGCTTGAGGACATGGTTTAGTGTTGGACTTGGCAGTGCTAGGTTAACGGTTGGACTCGATGACCTTAAGGGTCTTTTCCAACCTTAATGATTCTACGATTCTGTATTTTTTATGTGAAATAAAACTGGCATTTGTTAACACATCATATATTGTACTTATCATCTCCTTTGATATCTCACTTAGAACATAAAGAGGATGGAAAGCATACAGCAGCTATGCCATTTCAAAGCACACACACACATAGACAAAAAGACAAAACTAAAAGTTCTGTCTGATGTTACAATCTGAGCTTACACAGGATATGTGAGGAGGAAGGCACGGATATGCCTTAACAAGAATATCCTCATATTCCTTGTTATATGAAGTATTTGGGAATTGTCTTTTCCCCTTAAAATGAGAGGACTTTGGAAGAGATTCCTAGCAGAAAAATCCTCCTAATGAAGTGAAGAATAAAAATAAAATAAAGCATTCTTTGAAAGATTCTAGCAATCTGAAGTTTGTGAAAATTAATGACAAGGGAAAACCAAATAAATAAATAAATATGCATCTTAATGTCAGATCTAGATTTACATTTTTAGGATCCATAAGTAAAATATTTCAGAAAATAATTTTTCATATAGAATGAACATATAATCATTCATATAGAATGAACATATGGATTATTTGAAATATATTATAGATCAGAAACACAACATACATAATTTGATTAAAGTATTTCTTGTTTTTTTTCTGCTTTTACTGGAACAAAGTAGCATCTTAGAGAAGGGGGAGGTAATTACCTATCAATTGGTATGTCAGAAGTGTTTGTTGTATGCATAATAGTATGCTTTTACAAAAATTTGCAGGGTGAGTATGAAAGCCAGATCTATCTTTCATTACAATGGACAGATGGTAATATTATCAAGCAGGCTTTCAATATGAGGGCAATAGCTGAATCTGACAGCAGAAATTTTCTTTACTAAAATTGAAAGATAGTAATTTGCTGCAAACGTCAAGGAATTTAGGGCAATATTATATATTCAGCATTTACGGAAAACTCCACAGTCAACACAAGCAGATAATCCTACTAATAACCTATGTCACCTTTTTATTTAATGTGACTAAATAAAAGGTTAATATGAGGCAGTTGTATCAGTACATACAGATGGCAGGTATATTCACTATATACAATGGTGCTTCAAACAGAAAGTATCATAGTGTTTGACTGAACAAGCAAAAGGTATAATTTAAAAAAAAAATTGTGTTTAAAAAGTTATGAAATTGTTGCTTTAACAACTTCATAAAAGTCAGCTGTATTTTTCCTCTCTTTCAGCCCTTGTGAGGACAGGTCATACAACAACTGAGCATTCTTGAACAAACAGGCGTGTTTTGCTTTATAGAAACCTTGCAGAAGCTCACAGTTCCCACAAACTGCACCACAGGGAACTAATACTTATTAGTTGAACAGCATTGTAGATGTTCTACTGTATTTTCCAGCAGAGCATTTTTCACTTGTCTTGTTTTTAAGTCTTCTTGTTAATCATTCGGTTCAGTGGCATTAAATTCCCTACTGCACATTCACAAAGTATAGAGAGGCAATGTTCACAAAAGAAGAGCTGGACAAAATACAAATGAGTGCTTCAAAATCTTCTAGTTACAGAGAAAGATCAAATTTGATTTCATAAGGAAGTTACAAATAATAAAGCTTTCCCCATATTGCCTTGTCTAATTCTATTTCACCTGTAACTCCAAATATTGAAAAATAGAGACTATGGGCAAAGTAGCTGGCCTGAGACATAAAGTCTTGCAGCCTGTGGGAGCTCTGGGTATACCTGCATGTCTGATAGCAGAATAACCAGTCAGGTTTGCAAGAACAAGACAGCAGTTCCCTGAAACCGAGAGAGTGCCAAAGAATGGCACAGTGACATAACTTCCAAGCTCCTAGACTTTCAAGAGCAGGAATACACCTGCCCAAAACCAGTTTATCTATACAGGAAATGCAGGAAGGAAAATAGACACCTTGGAGGAGTTACAAAAAATATCTACATGCTGGACAGGAGAGTAACTAGTAAAAAAAAATGTTTTATATGAGTCTGAACTCTGACCAATTTCCAAAACTTAGAAAAAGGTGTCCAGAAACATTCAAATTCCAGAGTCTTTGGCTAAGAATGGGCATGCATTTCTTTTTAAAATTATAGAAGAAAAACGGAGGATGGGTGCATTTAGCGTTTTCCCAGGCTTCATATCAAATCTCCTGAGGTAAGAACTGACATAACCCTGAGTGCCGGAATCCATCCAAGAATCTCTAATTTTTAGGCCACAGTGTCATACTCCCCTGTGGCTGGCTGGCTTACTTTTGGTGCACAGTGAGACAACTTAAACAGGGGGATCGAAGCACTAACCCTGGTGGTTAGTGCACTGTCCAGGAAAGTGGAAGACGTGGGGTTTCAAAACTGAGAACAGAGTCCTCTCATGCCCTGAGTAAATGATCTGATCATCAGGCTGTGTTATAAAAACCAAAGTGGTTGCAGGAGGAAAACAGCAGCAGCCATGCTTCCAGATGTTTCTTTTTAATGTGATCATCATTGCTGTTTTTTCCAGAGTGCCAAGTTGGATAGGACATTGTACAATTACAAATTTACAAGGCCCATTTATCTCACAGTTTCTTTAAACTGTATCCAATCTTGCAAGCCTTGCTCCTGCCTGTGTCACTAAGCAAATTAGACTGTTTCTGGCAAATCACTCATCTTTTTCTTAATCATCTTACCACTAGGTTGCAAAGAAAAGCTAACAGTTATTTATAAAGGACAGATCGTAGGTTGTAGCTCTGCTATAAAATTATAATTTTGTTTAGTACTCGGTACTTTCCTTCAATATTGATATTGTTGCTCCAGCATAGAAAGCTCTAAGAGGAAAATTCATGTATAGCTTTTCTTCCAAAATGATATTTTTATTTTTAGCCATCTCATGTAATGCTTTTTCCAAGGTCAGTCTAAGCAGCTGGATTTGCCCCTGGTTAAAGTACTTCACTTATATCATGAAGTGTCTGAAAAATATTGAAGTGGAAATGTCTTCTATTTTTAAAGGATTTATTTTACCAAATGATTTCTCAGCAAATAGAATGAGCTGCTTTTGTATCTTAGAAAGAAAGCAAATGAAAATGCACATATGAAATAATCCCTTCTACATTTCTATGCTTTACACCAGGGCAGCCTATAGGCATGTGAGATAATTTTAGTTTTATTCTGCTTGAATAAGATACAAAGAAATGTCAGCTAGATAGATATTTATTTCTGTGGCCTGTCTCCCAGGAAAGAAATGTTTTTCTTTCATGTGGTAGAGTCTGTTGTCTCTCTCTTTTTTAAGTTTCACTTTTATCTCACAGCATTCCTTTATTCATATATTACAATTATAACTTTGTGACATTTAATATTCCTGAATTTTCAAATAGTGAAAAGACTAACTCAGTTACAAAAGAAGAAATATATTATGAAAAGCAACATATGTAAGGGAGAAAGCACCTGCTCACCACATAATTTAATTTGATGCTTATTGTCTCTCAATAAATTAAACAATGGCCTTTTTTTCCCCTTTTGATTTATGGAGGCTTTTTAGTCTTTCTAAGCAATCACCCTCCTCTCTTTTGGATTTTTAGAGAAAATTCACTCCGTACTACATGATGCTGTTACCTGAATAGTACAATTTCTTTCCTCCCAGTCTGTAAACTGGAGGTTGTGCAAATGGAA